TCTTGATAATTAACTGTCCCGATGATATTCGTGTTTGGTATTTTTTATTCACGATGCTGCTTTATCAAATATTATTACAATGCTAATTTGTCAATAAACAGAATTCTGTTTTCGTTCAATAACAATCAAAATTGTTTGGGAATCGTCGTATTTTGCATTGGAAATAAATCGCATTTGTAAAAATCGGAAATACCATATGAACTGACCAATCGTAAGTGATAATTAACGCTATATAAATGAATATTTGAAGCAATAGCGTTGGCTAATGGCTTGCAACAACGGACATCAGCTGGTGAATAAATTTTAGCAGAAACTGTTTTCACACATTATTATATATAGCGTGACATGTTTTCACGTTTCAAAAAAATTTCACATTTATCTTTATTCAAAAGGAATATGTGTGGAATATTATCAATCTTTATTCCATTTTGAAACATCAAAGAGAATAATGAAAATAAAGATATAATGTTGGAGCGTAAAACACAACCCGCGCGAATAATTGCGTTAAAAAACCCACGCGAATAACGGATTAATGTATTCTTGAGATCATTCCACCCACGAGTGACGTAAACCGTTGGAAAGTAATAACGCAATAAAATTTTATAACGTAGTTTCGCCAATAACATAAACCCGATTGTTTTCGTACAATAAATATACTTGTCTCGATTTTACGACTAGTAGTGAGAGGAAAAAAAACCCTGTACTGATTTATCTTATGAATAAGCAATTTGTTGGCTGAAATAAGATATACAGCTAAAAATAGATGTATGTCACTGAATGCTATCAATTTTTATATTGCACATGTGACTGGCTGTCATTTGGATAATTGAATTTTATTCGGAGTAATATGTGCTGCGGATACAACGTCGCATATGCGCTCTAAACACAGAGTCTTTCAATTAATTAATAGAACGATTCGATTTCCGATAGGAGGTGTATACAAATTCGCTCTGCGAAGCTCTATATTCGACGCAATATGTATATCCGATAAATTGGACGATTTGCGCACGAGCGGGAGCACAAGGATTCAGGATACAATAAAGAGTTTACGAGAACGCGAAATTTATGATAATCTGCTATCAATCCGAATGCACCCGAGTCTGAACTTACGAGAGCAACTCGACTCAGTTCTCGGATACTCCGGCTAAGCTTTCGCTAAGTCCGAACTTGCGTACGAGTGGAGATTCGAGAGAAAGAGAGAGAGAGAGAGACAGGTGGGATTGCGCCACGCATCAGTGGGAGGAAACAAGGTCCTAAACTGAATTCTAATGTCGAGTCTAAGTCACTGTCCTTCCTGGAAATCCGCCAAAAGGCCCGTTCCTTCACCTACATACGAATCGCTTGAAAAATTCCTTCACGAATTGTGAAATTGCGTCGCTGAAATTGGGACGGCAACAAACGTCAGCAACAAACGTCGACATACGCACAGCTGCCAATTAAGAGCTAATTGATCTACGCTACGCAATTTACGTATACTACATTGTTGCGCATGCTAATTAGGATGTGTTTATTCGCGAGCGTGTAAGCGAGTCCGCGCTATGGCAAAGGCTCGCAAAGGAAACTACAGTCCCGCGAGCCTTGATAGCGTTACGTGAAACGAGTTCTAGCCCGCGCAGTGTATAATGTACTGTAATTTAATATTGATCTCTCTCGTGTAATATTGCAATCTAGAATTCCCAAAGATAACTATAACTGATAAATCACCGCGATTGGTCTTGGGACAATGTGCAATTATTTTCATTACGCAAAATCGTCATATCGCGGTAAATGCGGCAAAAAGTCGTCGATTTATGGAGACCTGTTCTATAATTATCCGCCTGAGTGGGCAAGAGGCGATTACCACGCACCGATATCAAAACATAAATTAAATTACAATATTCTTGACTAACACCATCCACGGTTGCAGAACGGATAAGCGGCACAAATTTTATGAATCATAATGCGTATTCTTAGTCTTCCCCGAATTGTGCAAAAAGAAATCGTGCGAATGCTAGGCCATGCGGGTTTTCGACCGCAGAAGTTTATATTCCACTTGCGGAACACGCGCGCGCGTGTTGGAAATTCAAAGCTGTCGGCGGCCAGATCGGACGATGTGCGGTTGCATCGTGACGCAAAGGACACTCGCGAATCGGGCGTCGATTTACAAAGCCCGAGGCCGGATGGTGTAGCGATCGGTATTTTACTTTGCGATTTCTAAAACCGCAACGCGCTACCCAGCTTCGTGCTGTTCGCGTAAGCGAACGCACGGGACAAGCCGCGCGGATGTTTCGCTGATTGCTCTCGCCGCGTATCTTGTTGTATGTAATACCCGGCTTCGAAATATTCTTTTGTCGCTCATTCGTCCGCGGCGAACGCGTGTCACGCGAGATGAAAGGCTTTTCCGGCGCGCGGCAGACGTCGCAAACCTGGTAAAAATTGTCCAGTTGCTGGCTTTGTCCGGAATATTACTTTCGATTTAACGTTTTTTGTGCGGCGTGCACCGAAACGTCATCGATTGTATTCGCAAACCCCGCGTCATATTCCACGGCAGCTACAGTTACCGCGTTATCCGCGCTTTGGGCACTTGATACATCTC